AATAAATAAATCCCTGATTTCTGTTTTGACCTTGGTTGTGCATTCTGGCAGTCAGTGAAGTTAAAAGTTAATCTTTTGCAGGAAGATTGGCACACTCTGCCAGCAAATTTGTGACTTGTAGACAGACTTACATTATATTTTAATTCTCTTTTTTAATTTAAAGCCACAATACTGAGGATCATAATATTGGTCATGGATACTATAGCTAATTTTGGTTAATGGGCCACTTGCTAGATAATTAGAAATGAAGCACTTATCATGATAACCTACTTATCCACCCTTGTGCAGAATTTAAGACTATTTTAAGCAGCTCTTCAGTGTGCATTTTTTTCTAAAATGAAGTGAATTGCAGTTATCTTTACTCATTTGAAAATAAAATAAGTATTCCAAACCAAAGGAGCAAGGTCATGCTTTTTCTGGTTGTGTCTTTTCTTAAGAAACTGGACCAAAGAATTATTAAACTTGTTCTCTGATAATCAGTATACAGAATGAGTATTTTGCTGAGGCAAGCACATTATACAGCTTGTAAGTGAAGTGAATTCAAATTCTGTAGTCCTAGGGGAGGATGATGGCCACTATGAAGTATTGATATTCCTTAGATGTTAATAGCAGAATGTTGTCCAGTCACAGAATCATTTAGGGCCAGCACTTGATTGCCTTAAATGAGTAATCCTACTGAAACCAGTGGGACTACTAGCATATGCAAAGCAATCAGTATTTGTTCTTGAATGCTGTGTATATGTCTCTTCTCTACTGTACCTACATAATTTAAGTTACACCATATTTACTTGAATACAAGACAAGGTTTTTTTCCCTCAAGGGGTGGGGTGGGGGAAGCTCCTGGTCTTTATAATTGCGTACAAGGAAATCTCACTATGTACATTGTGTATCATTAAACTACTAAAAGCAGCATGTGCTTAGTAGTGGAACCAGGTATGAAGTTGATTTAAATGCAGTTAACACTGAGCCTGACTATTACACACATGGCTCATGTTGAGTAAACATGCTGATGGGGAACCTTTTTTTGTGTTGACCTTAAAAAGAATTGGTAGTTGATCCCCCAGGAAGGTACTGGCACCAGGCCTGGAGGTACTGGAATACCACGCTAGCAGTGCCAAGGGGTCAGAGCCCACCCTGATCTTAGCCAAAAAGCTGAGCAGTTTAGTGCAGCCCATCTGAACAAGATGCATATAGTGCCCATTAAGCGCAGTCTCCCTCAGCATTGACTCTCTTTAAAGTCATGGTGAGCCGCTACACTGCATATATTTAGACTTCCTTTTCACTACAACAGCTGAGCTGTGCCTTTCTTTCCTATTTCCAATAATTCTGTTTCTTCACTAGCCTTAAATGCCTGGCAAACATCACCAAATGGGGCCTCAAACAGTTCACCCAGAATTCCTCTGTTTCCCCCTCTCTCAGCATAGCACGTGTGATTAGTGTGGCCTACCATGAGTTGAAGCTAGACCAGGTTGTCCTGCCTCATCTGCATATAAGTTTTTGGAGGATCCAAGGACTTGTAACAAGAACCCCTTGTTCCAGTCATGAGTGTGGTCTGATTAGCACATGGATCCTTTTTGGGAGGTTTCTGGAGTACACATACATGCTGAGCTGTGGGATCACTATGGCTCGAAATGTTGTTGACCCTGGGAGGGGGGTCCCAGCACAGTGAACTATGTGGTAAATCACAAACCTTTGGCTTTGAACTAATATCATTCATAGTTTGTACTACATATAAGTAGGGACCTATTTAACTCATGGTGAGAGAGAGCCATTTTCGTGACTTGCTCATGGCACAAAGGACCTATTTTGTGGGCCTTTCCAGCAGCCCCACCCTTTGCTGCTGATTGGTGGAGAGGTCCCACCATCACCACTGATTGGTGGAGCAGCCCTGCCATTGCCACAGACAGTAAGTCTCAAGCACATGAGAGTGGCTGCAGGGATTGCCATGTTGTCTAAGTATTGTGGTAAGGATTTTGAGATTCTAAAACAACATATTATATAAATAATATGTGAGGAGGTTTTTGTGGGGAGGAGGGGTTGATTCTGGGGAAATCACAGATGATGGAATATTTTGCAGTGATCAGCGAAAACCACAAAACCACACATTAAGTAGGTCCCTACATGTAAGCAGGTGCCAAAGGGCTGTTCAAAAGAATGTTTATGGAGTACCTGTGCCAAAACTTGCATTAGTTTCATAAAAAGGTAACATGCATCAATTCTGGATGAACTAAGTGTATTGGTACTATATGCAAATTTCTACAGCCATGTTTAATTTCAAGGTTATTCTTTTCAGATTTGCTTCTCAGTTCCATGTGCTCAGGGGCTGTTAGTGGGAAAAGTTGGAGGGAAGAAGAAAGCAAAAGGCTACCTGACCCCCCACAGATATATTTACCCTGCTTTAGCAGTGGGAGGCGTACAAATTCAAGACAAACCTCCAATAATTAGATTTTATACCCGGAAAATTGTGACAAAATTATAAATTTTCCACATATAGAATCTAATTATTGGAGGGGGCATCTTCTATTTGAGTAAATAAGTATTTCTAACAATACACAGCTATATGTGTCCACTGGAATAGGTAGAGGCATGAACTTACCTGATAATACTCATACAGAAAACTATAATTGATATATAAAATAAAATATAATGAATAATCACTTTTATGGTGTATGACAATTTTATGTTGTATGTTGCCCTGTCCTGTAAATCTGTCTTCAGTTTGTGTTCTTCAAGTCTTACTTCTGCTCAGGGCTACCAGAATATAAACTGTACCCTAGTCTTGCAAAGCCTATTATAAAATCCAAAAGCTAAATTTATTTTGTAGAAAAAATATTTTTGTTTTTATGTATTACTGTCCATTTTTGAAGAATTTAAGTTACAGTGACAACTGAGTAAAAGTTTCAGTTCTAGACAGGATAGGTAACAATACCATGTTTGTATAAAAAATGTAACCCTTAGGTATGCGCGAAACAGACCATATTCAATTCGGATTTGTCCTGAATCGGGGACAGTGATTTGATTCGTTGATTCAGATCGCTGTCCCCGATTTTGATTCAGCTGAATCCAAAACTGAAGAAAGAGATTTGGGGGTCGTCATTGACCACAAGATGAACATGAGCCTTCAATGCGATGCTGCGGCTAGTAAAGTGAGCAAAATGCTGGCTTGCATCCATAGACGCTTCTCAGGCAAATCCCGGGACGTCATTCTCCCCTTGTACTCAGACTTGGTGAGGCCGCAGCTGGAGTACTGCATCCAGTTTTGGGCTCTTCAATTCAAAAAGGATGTGGAGAAGCTTGAGAGAGTCCAGAGAAGAGCCACACACATGATCAAAGGTCAGGAAAACAGACCTTACAATTACAGGCTGAGAGCTATGGGGTTCTTTAGCCTGGAAAAATGCAGGCTCAGGGGTGATCTGATGGCCACCTATAAGTTTATCAGGGGTGACCACTAGTATCTGGGGGAGCGTTTGTTCACCAGAGCGCCCCAAGGGATGATGCGGTCGAACGGTTATAAACTCCTGCAAGACCGTTTCAGGCTGGACATAAGGAAGAATTTCTTTACTGTCCAAGCCCCCAAGGTCTGGAATAGCCTGCCATCGGAGGTCGCTCAAGCACCTATATTGAACACCTTCATGAGAAATTTGGATGCTTATCTTGCTGGGATCCTATGACCCCAGCTGACTTCCTGCCCCTCGGGCAGGGGACTGGACTTGATCATCTTCCAAGGTCCCTTCCAGCCCTAATGTCTATGAAATCTATGAATTCGATGCTGATTCGGAGAATCAGAGATTCAGCCATGGGCACAGCTTTAAATGTTCCCCCATTTGTCCCCCCATCTCAGCATTCATGAGCTGCCCGGTACCTTGAGGTATGTAGAAAAAACATTTAAAGCTGTGTCTATGTTCAAATAGTCAAATCTTTCGAAATCTCTCTGAATCGATTCAGAGGGTTCCAATTCGATTTGGAAAGATTAAAGGGTCTCTTGATTCAATTCAGATTTGGAAATTCAGCCACTGAATCAGGCCAAATCTCTGCCAAATCGAATCAGTGACTGAAGCTTTGCATAGCCCTAGTAACTGTTGCTCTTCAAGTTGATCTTTCAAAGTGGTTGTGCCTGTAATATCTAGACAATTATTTTCATGGAAACTTACAGCCATGTACAGAACCATAAAGTTTGAGACACTCTTAGGAAACGGGATGTGGTGATCTAACAAGCAGTTTCTCCAGCAGTCTGATTGGAAATATTCCCCTGATTTTTTACAAGGAATTTGCATTTTTTTTATGTTGCCAAAGTAATCTTCTTTTTTTTTTTTATAACTAAAAGCTGTATCAAGTAGCTTTTGTTCTTTTAGTTTAAGTTACAATCTATTGATCACAAGTACAAGTAGTCAGTGCAGCCTTAGGTTTCCTTTCAGAGGAAAATGAGTGCTTTATCTACTTTATAGGATACAGTCTTAGGGAACAAGGGATTAGAGGAGCCTTTCATTACTATGGTTGGTCAAATTATTGCCATGGATATTTAATAATAATTAAAAAAAAAAATCTTAATTGTAGAGATCATTTACTTTGAATGGGACAAAGGGAATTGCTGAAGATTTTTCTTTTACTATAGGATAAATATGCTTATTTATACCTGCATCAAACTAGCTTTTCCTTAATCCTTGTTTCTGCATATCAAAAAATAATTGCATCAAACTACAAAACTTGTATTTTACCACAGAAGAGCATTTACTCAGATATTCCTACTGACTTTGTTTGGAACTAATCATGTTGCTGCCCACCAACAGAAGTAGAGAGTTCACAGTCTGGCATTGTTTGGGTACTGCTGTAGAAGCATAGAACCTGATGTTGCCACTGTGGATGGGAGGCAAAGTTGTATAAGGAAACTGTGGTTCTGATAGTTTTAGCTTTTGACTATATTTTTCAATCTGAATCTAAGAAAAAAAAAACTTCCTTTAGACTCTCAATTGATACTAAATATTTATTTCCAAATTTTATAGCATAAATGCAGTTCACGCTACAGTGAAGACTTTGTGCTACAGCTGGAAAAAGAGTTGGTTCAAGCAAGGCTGAGTGAAGCAGAATCCCATTGTGCTCTGAAGGAAATGCAAGATAAGGTTCTAGACATGGAAAAGGTAAAACAAAACTAGGGCCTGCTTTATGAAACTGTGCATCAGTGGGTATATTAGTCCTTATTGTTTCAAAGCATAATTGCAGTCTAATTTAGCAGGTTAAATTTAATTATTCCGAAGAAACCTTCAAAATCTGAAATGAATGCAGTTGAAGCAGGGAGATTTTCTCAAGTTCACAGAGATCTCGGGTCAGCTGTACAGGAGCAAGTTGTTTTCTATGCAGAGATGAAAACTTAGCAGTCTGGTAATGATGGTTTTAATGCATACGTGCACTACGGTATTGAATGTTTCATCAAGAACAAAAGACTAATTCCTTATTTAGGGTTGAGACTAGTGGTAGATATTGAAGCGGAGTGCAGCTGGCTGCCTTGGGTATCTGGAATAGGGAACAAGGAGTTCACCTTCTTTTCATTCCCAAATTTTTAAGGCCTCGATTTTTTCACCCAAAAAGAAAAAGCTTCAATTTCCACTTCAGTATTGAAGTTTCGAAGCATCTCTCTCTTTCTTGGGTACTCAGCATAACTCTTCCCTAATGAGCTGTCAGATTATCTTGTTTACTTTTAGGCTTGGAACAGAAATTACACACACATTGATTGGAAACTGGTTCAAGCCTGTAATACAACAGAAGTCCAGCACGCATAAACTACTTTCAAAACAGCCAAAATCAGTTTAAGATAAACTTGGATGGATGTAGTTTCAGACTTAACTGATTTAGGTTAAATTAGTTCATTGAAATTCTGTCCCAGATCTCCTCCAGATCCAAGTTAACCCACAGTCTTCCAGTAACCCAACATGCTTTGCACTTCCCCCGCAAGCCCCCTCTTGCAGGGTGGGCAGGCTAGGTGAATGTCTGTTCACTTGCTTATTGGTTCAGTCTACACAGCTTAGACTAACTTGCAAAGACTGAACTGATTCAACCTTGGGCTTTTTGATTGTCTGTACTTAACCTTACAAAACAATAGTCTGCAGTACACTGAATGTTTGAGGATGGAATTAAATTGAATGATTCCAAATAATATACAACACACAGAGGATACTATACTGATTATGTTGTACTGACTTGGGGTGGATAGTACCTCATAATTTAGATCTGACGTGTTCACATATTTGGGCCCCTGATTACACCTTACTTTTATGGGGTAAAATTTTGATTATAATAGGTAAATCTAATTATCTGAAAAGTTTAGTGGGTTTGTAATGGAGCAAGATGTATAAAATGTTAAGGCAGCAGCAACTGTATATTAAAACTGAATAAGAATCCAACACATGACGTCATACCTTCATTTCAGACGGTCAACATTTACCTTTTATTAAGTTGCCTCAAACATAGATGTGACATTGTTAAAAATAAAATGTCAACGTACTTGTAAAAATGAAATAGCTACTTTAGTTGTAGCAAACTGACTCAGTTCCAGAAAATAACTTTATTACGGCATCTCCATAATTGAGCATGCACAGTTAGGTCAATAAAAAGACATAAAATAACCAAAAACTACTGCAAATGCAGCATTTTTTCTACCTTTGTATTAATATAGCATGCAGCCTGGCCAAAAAAAATTCTGTTATCACATATTCTTACAGATATGCTACCATTTTTTCAGGTAGAATTCCAGAAAACTATATAATCACTTTTTCATATTTGCTATAGCACTTCATTTTTGTGTGTGTTTTGAGCTGGTAAAATGGATGGTTTAGTCCCTCATCTATGAATTCTGAGATAAAATCTCAGAATTCTGTAATTCCATTATTACTTAATTTTAGGCAAACCATACAGATCCCTAGATATGACAAAATTACAATTTTCCCAAAAAAGAATATTTATGTACCACAAAATAAGGCCACGGAAGGAAGTAGTGCACAACTTAAACTTTTGAGTACCTGACAGCAGTTCAAACACTTCATACATCTGCATTGCATTGTAAGCAGGAATAAACCTGTTCAGGTAGATTCCTTTCTTATTTTTTTCTTTGCCTTTTTCCTTATACTGTTCTTGATTCATTTTTTTTCCCATCAGGATCTTATTTTATTCAAGCTTTTTCTCTTTCCATATAACCCTTCTTGAAACGAATTCTTGGGTTTTCCAATAGGTCCTAGGGTATGGACAGAAACTCTTTTGAAGCACTTCAAATCCTGCTCTAATCTAAAGCACTTAAAATTTGAAGCACTTCAGTATTGTGCAGATTTACAGGTCCCTCCCCACTGAAATCCTTTAAGATGGCCCTGAGTGCAAGCTATGGAAGAGCTCTGCAGCTCGGGGGCGGAAACGCAGAGATGCCTTTGGGGCTTAAGTTTCCAGAGGCTTTGAAGAACTACTGAGTGAAGAGGAAAGAGCCTTTTAGTAGGGTTGTGTGAAATGGGTAGTATTTGATTTCAGATTCAGCCTGAATTGGGGACAGTGATTCGATCCATTGATTTGGATCGCTGTCCCAAATTCAATTCGGCCAAATCAAATCTTAAGAGTTGATGCTGATTTGGAGAATCAGTGGTTTGGCCCTAGACACAGCTTTAAATGTTTTTTCTACATACCTTGAGGTACCAGGTGCGGTTTGTGAACATTGTGATGGTGGGGCAGATGGAGCGTCCCACAGGAGTGGCGGGGGGGGACCCTGCATGCTTCGCAGTGAATCTGGAAGTGGACCAGAAATACTTCTGTAATGCACTGAGGGGCCCCCCCTGCGCCCCCTGGTTC